CCTGCTGACAAATACCAACAGGCCTATCCTACATACTCCCTTACAGCACCCTTCCAAGGTACTCCATCTTTTTTAACTCTGTACAGAGGAAAAGCGGAGGAATAACCTGGCTTGGCTATCCTATTTGCCCTGCATAATTTCCCCCAAAGCTTCAAAGTATCGCAAGGGTATAATATTGCCTTTGATTTCTTGCAAGTTCAGCAATTTACTCAGCTGAGTTAATTCAACCATTTTTTTGAGACTATAAAGCCAATGTTGGCAATATAAACTGAAGCTGGCAACAAATACCAATTAATACAATATTTTTCTTGAGTTACGCTTGTAAGTGTGGAGTAGAAAAGATAAGTATCTTAAAGTATTCAGTGAAGTGCATAATGTCAAAGCTGTTTCTGCATACAGTGCCAGATGATTACATATCACTTTGTGCACTGTTATGGTAATTTAAATTGAAATACATATTTGCTTTTTCCTGTTTATTTTTAAAGTGATTACCCTTAACATCATGATCTTCAACACATTTTCACTATATTTTTAATTAGGGCATGTGACCATGATGAAAGGTTTTCATAAAAAATACTGGTAGTCTTATTACAGCCTTATCAGTTTTATTTGCTAAAACTTAGGTACATGAATATTATATTTACCAAATAGAGAGCAATTCCTCCTCCTATAAGAAAGCCACAGTAAACATCAACTGGATGATTCTTATACTGGGTGATACGAGTCAGACCACATATAATTCCGCAGATGATAAAAGCAAAGACCAAGAGTGGTTTCAGAAGTTTTGAGGAGTCTGTTAATGTAGAGTTGAAGTACATCTTGAAAAAAAGAAAAAAATGAAGAAGCAGTTGAAGAAACTTAGATTTATCTAAGAGGATATTAATTTATTGCATTCAATGTTTCTTTCACACATAGATCATTATTACACAGTAATGCTGCAAATAATTAGTTTATATTATGGCCCTGTTAGTTTCCTCACTTGCTGTAGGAAGATCTGAATTCACATGGAACAGGTTTCCAAAGACATAGGCAGTGCTGCTTACTGACATCAATTAGGACAAGGATTTTATGCCTAAATACTGTTCACAGTCAGAGTCTAAATGTTTTGTAAATGTGACTAATGAGCCACTGCTTGTGAAACACAGAAGCCAGATGTCATGCCAGATGAAAGCAATAACCTATTCTAACAAAAACTGCCACCAGATGCTTTAGAGAGCAGTTTCTTGACTGGGGGCCATGATGTCAGGAAGGTGACAAAAATTAAGTGGAGGTGGTTCTTCAGTATTATTCCAAATTTTGGGCTTTCCCTGAGCTCCCAGGATATGTACAATTCCATTAGCAAATTTGAGTAATGGGTTGTTATAATTTTCCTGATTTTTACACCTTTTATTTTTAAACTTCAAGTAGTCACTCATACAAAGACTGTAGCCTATACTGAAGAAATATCATTGGTCAGATGAAAAAAATCAGCTGCGATTGCTACAGGAAGTCCTACAGTTCCCAGCTAGTTACTGCTGGGTTTTATTCTCTTGCTTTGCAGCAACACCTTGGAGGCCTCTCGGAGTGATTGTGCCAGTTCACTCATGCTGTAGTTCTATGGAAATGAAACTATATGACATAAATGTTTGCTCCTTAATGCTTCAAGTTTGAAAGCAGCAAGTCAAGTGAAGGCAGCAATAAAGAAAAGGCAGAACACACAATTTGTATGGTAATTTGTATGGTAAGTTAAAATATCACCCTGTAAGAGTGATATGCACTGGATTTTATACGTGAATGGTATGAGGCACAAAACATACTTCAACGTTGCACTTTTTGCTGCTTCTTAGCACAGAATGGGAAGTAGTTAAATCTTTTCTGTATTCTTAATAGAGCTTTTTTTTTTTTTTTAGCTGTTAGCAGTTTTATTTTGTTTTCAGAGACAATAAAAACTTACATCCATCCAGGACATGCAGGTAACACATCACTTTAAAATATACAACAAATTACTCTCTTACTTTTGTCTTGTATAAATGAAAATGAACAGAGTTGGTTACTCACCGAAATGTACACTGCTGCAAAGGCTGCCAGGGTGGCATGTTGAGAAGGGAATGACTTTCTGCCAAGGAAGGACACTAAAATTATGCTTCTGAGTTCAAATACACTGTGCTAGCATTCACTTGAATAAAAACACTGGGTAGTACAGTCATTTTCAGCTTACGCTTCCTAAGCATTATATGATCAATCAGTAATATTTAATTTCTAAATTTCTTTTTTATAATCTGGAGGACCAACATTAATGAAATGTCTTTGTTTTAAAGTAAATAATTAGCATTAAATTCTTTGTGTACTAAAAAAAGCATGTGTACTAAGAGAACAGTGGGGATGAACTAAAGACTGAATGCTTCATTGAAAAAATATCTATACATTTACTTCTATAAATAAATTTCCATAGTAGCTTTTCAGTAAGTACCTAATTATACAACTTATTTAATGTAAGAATCTTGATCTTATGATTATTCTCACTGACTTCATTTGGACTCTTTTCCAAGTATGGGCTCATATACTTTGATAATCAGGCTTTAACTCCAGCAAAAAAATTCATCATCTTTGTGCCTCCGGTCTGTTGCTCTAATAATGGGAGGATGACAAGGTGACATTCTCTCAGAGAGAGGCAAACTACATCTTTATTTGCTGTGTCTTCAACACTTCATAGCATAATGGGGTGAACAGAGGACCAGACACAGAGCATTTTAAGAGTTACCGGGCCCCTTTTGGAAGCCCACAACAAGAGGGTAAATGCAAATACGTTCAAACTGTGTGAGAGAGTAAGCAATACCAGATCTACTCTTGAAACTGCTGAGGGCCTCCTGTTCTCTCTGAAAAACTGTATACTTGAATGATGTGGACTGGGTCCTAAGTCAGAAATGACAGATAGGAAAATTAAAAGTGACAGCTTAGCTTCTGCTTCTCTGACCAAGAAAAGGAGGTTTTGTGTTCAGTAGTGGCTACACAGAACCATCACATGACACCCTCAAATATTTTAACATTCTTCTAATCGACCCATTTCAATTCTCTAAAATCAACAAAGGAAAAGTGATGGGAACATTAAGGAGCAATGTTTGCACAGCAGAGGGAAGAACTCAGCTGGGGATAGATCCAGTAACACCTGTTCAGCGATGGACATCTAGTTCATAGCTTGTAGAAGCCCTAAAACACCTGTACAACCTCTCAGCTCTAGAGTGAGCAAGAAGCAGTGAAGATGTAGAGCAGTTTCTATCTGTATATTTATCTCCTTAAAATGGCATGTAATGTAATGTTGCTGGTTGTTTGTGAACAAGGATATGTCCATCTTGCAACCACAGCACCTGCTTCCATCCGAGCAAGCTCAGCTTGACATAGATACTTGAACAATTATTCAGCTTCACTGATGGGTCTTGCCACCCTAACTGAGCTCTATGTACATTTTCCTATCAGCACCTGAGTTAGCTTGTTTAAAACACCAAAGACTAAAACATAGCCTTTTACCATTAGACAAAGACCTTTTTCTGCAGAGCAGCAGAGTCTACTTTCTAAATTTCTTTCCTTGGATATTTGTTCTAAATAATTCACGGGCAGTTAAATGTGTGCATGTAGTTCAGTATGAATGCCATACTACAGATCTGAATTTGAGCCGATGTCTCCAGCAACTTCATGACTGGTCAAGATGAAATCAGCAATCAGCATGATTCTTTTTTAAGTTCTAAGGATGGATCTAAATAATTCTTCTTTTTTTTTTTTTATTTCCTTGAATAAACCTTTCACAAATAGTATCCCTGGGGAAGAAGTTCAGAGTTGAGGACAAGAAGATAAAGATATAAAAAAAATGTAAATGTTTATAATAGCTAATCAGCTCCTTTACCCTGCGCAGGTTTTAGTGGAAGCATAGATCTACTTACAGTCTCTGTGGAGCTAATGTGCAGATTCAATTCTATGAATGTTAGTACCATGCAGAATTTAACCTTAATTTGATGGCATTTTTATAGTATATAAGGTGTGTCACTATGATACAGTCAATTTTTTCCTTATTCTATCTTCTATTCATATGCTTTTAGGGCAATCACAGCATGTTACAGACTAAACGCACTCTGTGTACTCTCTAATTTTGTTCATTTATTTGTTATCTTTTAATCTAAAACAAAAACAGTTCAAGCTAAAAATATGTAGCCTTCTTGTATGGCTCTGTATTGAAAGGTCTCAAAGAAAACATATCCTGAACTCAGATGACAGAGTATCACTTTAAATGCTCATGCATGAGGGTGTGTAGAGAGTGAACAATAATGAGAAAGTCATGCTGAGAGAGAAAGGCATACTGAGTCAGGACATCAGAAATGACAGAGGGTAGAGAACTCACGGGAGATCTGAACAGAAATTACTGATAAAGCTCTTTGAAGATAAATAGAGGACACGATGGACAAAGGAAACCACTGGATTTGTGGGGATGTTGCAGAAAACTATATCATATAATGAGCTGGATATTTATCTGTACTTTTCATAGGGGGAGTCCAGAGGCAAATTTCTAGAGCCAAAGTTTCTGAGAAATACAAATAAAAAATTAAGGCCGTTAGCAATCTCAGAACAACAAATCCCTTACGAACTGAAATTACCTAAGCCCTATTAACCTCCTGGGCTGGAGAAGTTATGGTATAACTCCTGTAACAGATGACTGAAGGAAGTATTGAACCAGTAACAAGTGCTGATCGCTTTGGTAAAGTTGAGACAGACATAAGGAAGTAACAAATTATAAAGGAAAAATGCAATAAAATTGACTTAAGGATAAACTAAGGGTGGTGCATAAATCTGAGATATCAACATATGTTCATCTTCTAAAAAAAATAGAAACACAAAAAACCATTGCTTAGCCTTAATATGTTAGAACTAAAGCTGTTTTGGAAAGCCATGACATTTAAACTCAGGAGTGATCCATGGGTTTGGAATGGCTAGAGGTAGTCAGTTCAGTAGGCATCATATCTGAGATGATAATGAAATGAATAGATGTAATCGTTGAAATTTTTCTGCCTCCTCATGTGTAAAGCTACACCAATTTTCCTGGGATACCATGCACATGCAAGACACGGCTTGCAAGCACCGGGCTTCAGTGGCAGAACCCCAGTAACAGTGAATGGTTATGGGAAACGAGACAGTGAGGCAAAGCCTGATAGAGTAATTCTGGTTATGCCTTTCAGCAAAATTATTGTCACCAAATTATTTGGGCCAAATAGAGATACAATCCTTCATTCCAGGTCCATATCGTGTCCACATGTATAAATTGAAAAGATATGGCAAATTAATCAATGCTAATTATGAGTCTTAGCCCACTAAACATTTTTAAGACCAAATACATTGAGGGTCTTTAAACATCAGTGAAATTGGCTTGTCGCAGTGAAGGGAGACAGATTAGGATATTTGCTGCAAGATGCTCACAAAGTGAATGATTCATGACTCCCAAGTGTGTTAGCCATTGAAACAAATGGAAAAGCAAACAACCTGGGGGAGAGGTGCCTTAACATCTAGACAGAACATTTTAATGATATCCGTGTGACAAAAATGTAATGTCATGAGGCATGAAGTTAAAACAGAACCTAGCATCCAGGGCTGCATACAGAACAAGAAATGAGAGCAAAGCTTTTGTGAAATGGATGTGACAGAAGTAACACAGCTGCATGTGTACTAATTAGGAACACAGAAATTATGCAGCTGAGTCAGAGACAGAAATTTTAGTCAGTTCAAGCATTCTATAATTTTGTTGTAACTTCTTTGGAGAGCAGGAGATTTTAAAATGCACCAAAACTTTGAAGGACTGGAAAACATTCAGTGACTGACAGGCGACAGAGGTTAACCTGGTATGGAAAAGATACAGAAGACTACTACTGTATTCAGCAAAGAGCTTCATCATTGCTCAGTAGTGTAGTGCTTATATTTATGACACTTCATACTTGAAGCCCTTGAACTAACAAGCAGCAGATGTACTGGAACGGAACAACTTACTGTCATACAACTGGTATCTTCAAATTCCTTATTTAAATCTATGACCTGTCATCAGTAATTGAATTATCACTATCTTATCACATCGACCTTTTTTAAGAATAAGATATATATATAGAGAGAGAGTCTGGTTTATACTTCAACTTGACTGATAAATGTGTCCAAAACCTACTATTATAAACAATATTAATTTCTCTCCTGGCTATCTAACCAGGGAGGCTAAAGACTAAATGATCAAGGAGGATAAACCACTAGTCAGAAATACCATGAAAGAAAAGGCATGTGTTTGGGTCCACACAGATTCGCACTGTTGCAGTCTTCCTCTAATAAAGGGATTTTTTCAGTGCTGTCAATATAAAGAACTTAATCAACTAGAGAAGCAGAGAACAAATAAACTCCTTTAACAAATCCTAAAATTAAGCCTCACAAACCAGGATCAAAATGCCAGAGCAGTGATGTATGTTTTACAGAGGTCTCAGATAAAGTACTTAGGTGAATTCTTCCATGCCTATTATGGGGAACTTACCCAGATCCCACTGGGAAAACCAGCAGAAGCTACACATATTAATAACTGCAGAAGAAATGGTCTCCTTTGAAGGAGGGAAAATAACTAGGTGCTAATGACTGTGCTTCGAATCTAACAAGTCTTCCAAAGGCCACTGTTGGCCTAATACCTTTATATAGAAAACTGAGCATCACTACAAAGACATACTCTCATCTTTGTTACAAAGAACTGACAATACCCGTTCAGACTTCAACTAGAAAAAAAACCCTTGAAACTGGGGCAGAAAACAAAAGTGAGCATTTAAAAATGTACACAACAAAGGATAGAACCAACCTTCCAGCATTGATAATATTGAGATCAGCTCCTGAGCAAATATCTTCCACAACATACGAATTCTCTGAGCAGGATACATTTAAGGATGTATAGTTAGGCTTGCAAACAGTCAGAAAATATGGTGCCTGATATCCTGTTGATAGCTGTATAATATCAGTAACAAGAGCAGTAGAACAAAGACCAAACACATGAACACCTAGGAAAGAAATCAGTAAAGCTTGTTAACTTTATTACATACATAAATTAGATTAATTTGTTGTGACAAAACACATTCAGTGGAATTCCCATGGTTTGTGTCATTGAACTTGAGAGAATGTAGCTGAAGAATAAGATGTATTTTTTTTTAATGAAAGCTTATTGCAAAGTTGAATTCTTCAGTGTAAAAAATTAAGATTATTTATGCTTGTTTTCTTTCTGTTGAAACTTTACATTTCATTTTGATGGCTTGATGTCCTCCAACATCTTTTCACAGAATTGAACTACTGCTTCAATCTGCAAAGCAGTTTTCTGAACTGACTAAAGGACAGCCAACTATTTAAGGAGGCCATATGTGCTCATCCGGTCCTTGGACTTGCCCACTGGGATACAGGCTTTTAATAATATGGGCAGCTGCCAGTAGATGACTGCTCTGAGGACCTGTTCTCTTTTTCTCATCAGCTGGCAATAACTTTGGCTACCATCCCACCTTTGATATTTATTGAGTACCAAGTCCTTGCCATGAATCCAAATATTTGTCTTTTTGGTAATTGAACAATGTTTTTGTCTGGTTAACAATACCAAATTCCCAAGGCAGCTGAAGTAAATGCAATTGTTTTACTATTAATTTTCAACTCTTCTTCCTTAAGGATTCACCTCTAATTCTCTACTTGCATTCATATAAATTTACTTCTCACCTTAAAATTGAAAGAACGCTAAAGTCATTCAAATACAAAAGAAACTGCAAATTCAGAATATGAATCAAGAATTAAATTCGTGCTTTTTTGAGCTTGTCTTTTTTGGTGATGAAATGAGACGCCATACAGGAAGAGAAGTGGAGAGCATGTGGTATCTTTACTGTCTTCCTTGCTGATGATGTGATCTACCATCCCCGCTGGTTACCTCTTCACTGCTGCTCTTAAGAGGATGCTTTACTGGTCATAGCCTGTATAACTTCTCCTGTCATTACCTCCCTGCCAGACTCTCCTGCTTGTTAGACTGCAGAAACCTAGAGTATAGTTCTCCTACCAAGTTTTCAGTCTGCTGTTCTGCAGGTTGTCTTTGCTAGGCTGCTCGCTCTAATGAAACATCTCTGGAACAGAGAAGACCTTTCCTTTAGCTACTTATTGATAAAGGAAATAATCTGTAAGAACAAAAAATTCAGCTGCTTTTTCAAGTTCATCTTCCGTAAATTACAATGAAAGTAAAGTAAAACAAAATAATTAAACATGTTCCTCTCTATCATCAGGTTGCCAGATTCTAGCCCTTCTTCAGGAGGCAGATAAACACATTCCAGAAAAGGAATGTCAAATCTATTGAGGGTTTCTGACAAGTTTTTACTGTCATGCTGAATACTGTGTCAGGTGGGTTGAATTTTTCTGATGCACTGAAGACAGGCAAGGGAAAATATACACTGAAACTATTGAAAGGAAGTCAGCTCAAGGTGGGCAGAGAAGGAAAAAACAAAGTATTCTTTTAGAAACACTGACAATGGTACAGGAGAGGAAAGGGAAATTGGAGAGTGTAGATGCTGCATTACTGAGTATGGGGCTGCTCTGTTGCTCCATTTGAAGGTTTCTTCCCACATTTTCTGGCAGAAGATCTGTGCCAGTGACAGCCCTGTACTGTTCTGAAAGGCTGTTTCAGAGAAGCAAACCTGCATGGTTGAAACGAAATGTATATGCAAAGCTCTTCTTTGTGACTAACACTTGAAACCCACCAACAAATCTGACAGCTCTTCTAAGAAAAGAATTGAAGTTGCATCCTCCTGCATTAATATTGGCCTCTGTTCCAATCCCATTTCTTCTTTTGGACAGGCAACAGTAGAGAATTCCTTCTCCTATCATTATCTGCAATGACAAAGGAGCCATTAAATTAAATGTAGCAGTTACTCAGAAGACACTGATTGAATTCAAAGGGCTGAAACATAACTCTACCAGAACCAATGCCATCCACTGACATGTACTTGCCTTTAAAAGATTTGTATCAATATGTAAACATTCAGTAATGCAATTTAGCCTGAGTGAGGGCAGTCAAGAAGGTGGCACTGGAATTAAATGCAAGTGGAATACAGTACACAGTGCTAGTGGAATCACGGTCTTGATCCATAGCTGAAATTTGATGCTTCTACAATGAAAAAGTAATAATTAGAAAATCTTGCTTCTAAAATAACACAGAGCCGCCGCAATATCATAGTGCTCCTGAGGTGGTTTTAGCACTCAGTCTTGGCCTCAAGCCTAGCAATTCCTAGCAACTTCTAATCATGTGGCAGTCTGCTCTTCCATATTTGTTTAATTTGGCTTGAGTTTTAACCAGATCTACAGCAGCAGAGAAAGTTCTGTCCTTATGGTCCCTCTGACCACACCGAGCAAAACAGATTATGACTGAAGCCCTAGACAAGAGTTTACAAAGAGAAGAATATAAATGAAAAGCTGTGTTATTTGCTGGAAAATCCATATCCATTTATATGTTTGCAGTCTCAGGTTTGAATGTTTTCCTTGTTAAATCATGCAACGGTTTGGGAATCTGTACAGGGCTTGTACAGGGTTCAAAATAAGGGTTGGGTTGAAATATTGAAATTAATGATACAGTTCTCACCAGTTAGAGGAAATCTGTCTATCCACAGATGCACTGAAAGTTTCTCAGAGAAATCATTAATGTTTCAAAATTAAAAAATAGAGACACTCTAACAGTTTTCAGCCAAGCTCAAGGAAATATCTGGCACAGGGCAAAACACCAGGAAGATGGATTAGCTGGTGTGATAGGCAAGAAAACTGGGAAACAGCAAGGCCTATGTCAAGGAGAATTCAGGGGCTGGTATTTCCAAGGAAACAAACTCTCACATCAGAGGACGTAATAGGACTGAAACTATCAGCAGTGATTTTTTTTGCTTTCAAATTGATTTCCCAAATCAATGCAATCTAATTTCCTGGTGATCTCTGTTAGAAAGCACATTGTTATATTTAAGTAGGTTTTTAGTCAGTGGTTGATAAGGGTTTGAACCTATACTGATATGATTAAATAACTGGCCCTAACATATCTGAATGAACACTAGAAAGTATGTCAGAGGATCAGATTCACAGTTCTTTGAAGCTAACGGAAGTCATGTTGTATTGAGGTATATCTGTATTCTAGACATAAAATATCCATAACAGTCATTTCATACAAGTTCTTTTGTTCCACATGGAAGGCTCTTGTCGTTTATGAATACATACAGAAAATTTCATATATGCCACAAACTGTAAGACATATGTCAATAATAGAGGTAGTAATTTTCTGTAGCACTTCAGAGCTACAGAACAGACCCAGTTAAAAGCTGTTGTTGCATAAAGCCTCAAATTCACAAGATCGTTCTGTAATAATAGCTTGGCAAAATAAATTACAAAATGACAGATTTGTTGCAAAAAAAGTTTACTATAAAGTGAGTAGATTTACTATGTTCTCCAGTCTTGGGGAAAAATGAGTCAACAAAAATAATATATAAAAATATTAAGTCCTACTGAAAAATTTATATAAGTCTTTAAGGAGGGAGTGTGACTGGAATTTGCTTGTCTTCTCTCTCCCGATGCCTGTCGCCACTTTTTAAAAATTTTTTTTATTTATGCTCTTTGGTAATATTTAAAATATGGATTAATCACACCTTTATTTTACTGAGTCTTGATGATCTTCTGCCTCATACTGTAATAAGTACCTGAACTGCAGAGGCTGCTATATTATTGGAGGTCCTCAATTCCTCACATAGCTCGCGCTTTCTTTTCGATATTTTACAGGTTTTATAAAGTGTGTAATTCATTGAAATTTTACTGAAAATGAAACTATAAAATGCTAAATTCTACAAGATGACAATGGCACAGTTGTAATCTTTCTGCATTGAGCGTCATTGTCCCGTTTTTTCCAAAGAAAAAGGAAAAAATTGTGTAAAAGCCCTCTAATTTTTTACTTCAGAAGTGGTATTGAATAATAAAGAGCTGATGCTCTATACCATCTTCAGTGCCTTTTATTAAAGGTTGTGTATTTTGCACTATTAGACCTCATTCTCCAACAAGCATCACATTCATGTTTACACCAACACAAATGAACTATATTTTCCTAAGGCTTGCAGCTTTTAAGTTGTACTTTGAAGCTTCAGGATTTACTTTCTTTACCAATCTTATATTTGATAGGCAAGTTCAAATGTGGATTTGAGTTCCTGACATGGTATGGTTTGGGCTAGTCATCTGTACTGCTGGTAGGAGAATGATTGAAGCAAGAATCATAGAATCATAGAATGGCCTAGGCTGGAAGGGACCTCAGAGATCATCTAATCCAACCTCCCTGTCATGGGCAGGGACGCCTCTCAACTAGACCAGGTTACTCAAGGCCCCGAATAACACATTCTTGTGTAAAACAATGTAATGCTGAAATAACTTCTCTGCAATCAAAGCCCTTAATAAAGACTGTAATGAAATGGGCACCAATCATCTCAACTGAAGGTGTTTGATAATACCTAGGCTTGACATATACTCTCTGAAGTAAAAACAAAACAAACCCTCTACTGTAGCCTACATCAATTCCTTCTATGGGTTTTGTTCTTATCAGAAACACTATCTAAACTCGAGAAACTTGGCAAACTGCAGTACTAAAAAGTTTTGGTTTTGCCACAGTATTTGGTTTTTGCTGAAAGTGTCCCCACCAGAAACACCAGGCATCTCAGGGCCTAGTTCCTAAATGAGTACAATTTTTAGCTTGATGGTTGTACAAAATCCTTCAGAAATCGTTTCTAAAGCAACGAAAATCAAACACAGCAAGAACCGTTTTTAAAAAGACAAATAAACAACAAACATCCTGGAAAGCCAAGAGAGAACACCACTTGGTGATTTTTATACAGGCATCACATTTATAGCTTCTGTAACTACAAATTGGCTAGTATTATTATAAAAGGAATAAAATGGTTGAATTTAAGGGAATTCAGAGGAGCTGGCAGCAGAGCTCATTTTGCAGCTGGCCTCAGAGAAGCACCTAAGGGAGATGTGCCATCATTGCTGTCGGAAGAGAAGAGATCCTTTCAGTAGGTAGACTCAGCTTTTTAGGTGCATGGAGTCACCCACTCAAGGTGGATTTCTCTCTCCATTTGGCTAACAGGAATGGTGTGAGAAAAAGGCTTTTATCCGTGCTGCCCAAATTTAGACACAATGAACTCACACTAGTATATATATATGTCTGAAGGTAAAGTCTTCAGATTTCATTTTCATTTGACACAGCAATTCCAGCAGAGACAATATTCACCTGTACCAGACAATAGGTTTTTTTTCCTTCCTGTAAAATAGTGACCGAACTGTTCATATTCTGACAGGACATTTCTGTTCCACTAAAATCATCTCGTCCCTTTGGGTGAATCATTAAACCAGCCTCCTTTTGCTCCCTCTTAATGACTAACTTGCAATTTAGAGGAGTCCCTGTGCTATTTGGGAAAGTGTAATTGATTTCACTGACACAGCTGACACACCTCACTGAATAAAGCTAGTTCTGAAAAAAGTGGCACACTCAGGGCTGTGAATGAAAGACTTTAATTTCCAACAAAGTCTTGAATTTTTGGTGTATCTCAAGAGTACGGAAATGTTCTTTCTATAAAAGTTCAAATATTTGTACAGCATAATAAGATGATTTTAAGCTACTCTCACCCAACTGTAGATGCTGCTAACATTAATGCCCACAATCAGGGTAGCGCATAGTGTGAGTACATGAAATACTACAGGGAATGTTTTAAGGAGGGTGTCTCCTGTTATAGAAGAATCAAAGACTAATTCAAAATCCTAAGGCAATTAGTCTGGATGACACTCTGCAGCCTACCTGAAACCAAAGGAGCTATTTTCTTTACACCAGCTGAAACTCCGTTAAAAATCTTTAATAAGTGACAGTGGCACCTCAAACTTACCGTGATTGATGGTCCAGCAAAAACGAGGCTAAGCAACATCAAGAACGGAACAGACTCTTGCGTAGGTTCAATGTACGGCATACTCAGACTCTTGTCATAGCAATTAAATCCAGAGTGAACTGGCTTGAAGACATCAGTAAGTTCAAGAAAATAGAGGCTAACAACAGAAGATGCCAATATAGGCAACTAGGAGAGAAGAAAGCAACAATTACTGTTTGGAAATGGAATAGCAATGCTTTTGCAAAGACAATGTAGTCTGTTAATAAATCTCTGTGATGTTTGCTATTTACATCTCACTGCTCCTTGTCATATCCATTTTACCATCTTTAAATAATTAATTCTCTGGAGATATGATACTACTCAGTTGATATCAAATAACCCTGTCATCTACCAAGCTAGTCAAAGCACCCAATCCAATCGGCAGCCCACATAATTTAGCCTTTTCATCTATGAATCACTAATAGAAAAACTCTGTTGTTTTTTTTTTTAAAGAAACTACCAGGACTGAAGTCTTCCACGTGGAGTCTCAGCGTTCTGCTGTTCATTATCACCCTTTCTGGTCCTTTCGCAACATTCTGTCACGTAAATGACAGTGTTTATACCAAAGACAGTTTGAATTAAACTTCAGAATAACAGTTAATTAAAAATAGTATCCAGTGCTTCCCTAAAATCTCAATATGTGACAATATAGTGTTCTGCCTTCATGCATTCACTTTTTAATTCTATCAAAAAAGCAATTAACTTCAGCAAGACTTGGTCTGTTTAGAACCATGATGACAATTCTTTTATGTTCCAGCTTTTTAGTGATTCTACCCTTCGCAATTACTTCCAGTAATTATATAAGAGTGAAGTCGGCCCCTCTGGGGATAAATTCACCCCAGCTTGCCACCAGCTCCTGAAAGCACAGATTCAACTAGCAAGCCTCTGCGGAAGGAAGTCATTCAAGAGAAGAAATAGCAAAGAGGCATTTTGAAGCCCTTAGTTTATAAGTGATCAGAGAGGGCAACTGTCCCCCCAGGGTGGGCATTCAGCAGCATGTCACTATTCTCTGTATCCTCTTCAGAAATGCTCAGGAACGCTTTTTGTTTGTTATTTCCCAGAGTCCTCACTAAACAAGGCAACACTGGAACAACTGCTGTCTCTTCCACTGGGATGCAATGACTCCTTCCCTGAGTCTCTACTGCAGTGAAGGTACCTATGGGTAATACAACGGGAACTGCCTATCTGCTTTCTCTTCTTTTTGAGATATCACATTAACTTTTCCTCCTTGTTAGCTGCAGCTGAAAAGTAAAAGCTTGCAAATACTACATAGATTCACTTAGATAAAATCATAAAACTCTGCTAAGGCTCTTGTGAAAAAACCCTCCTCCTTTACACCAAGCACCTCATGTTACAAGAAATAGATGTCGTCCTAACACAATTTTGGGTGCATTTAGATTACATGATTCTTGCAATGTTCAGTACACATTTACAAAAATAATTGTTTGAAAATCAGTGTTACTCATCCCATTGTATAATGGAACAAAAAAGCAGATGTAAAACTGGACAAATATGCATATTGGAAAAACTACGACTATGGCAGAGATATAACGTTTTCTTCCATTAACTGGCTATTTTAAAATCTTTAAACATTGGGCTTTTAAAATTCAGACATTTTGTGCACAAAATTTAATTCTGGATGGTTAAAGAAGGAGGGTTCTAGCTAAATTTCATTGAAATATTTTTTAACACAACTTAGTTTTTATTTGAAAAGAAGAGCTTATCTCTGATGTGCTCAAGGACAGATTTGAAGAGGGCAAGTTGTATCTTCAAAGTGTTCTATGCAAATTCTGCAGAAGGTGGAGAATGGAGGAATTTTGCCTGTCTGGTTTTGTGTGCTGAAGTTGATTGCACTGTAATGTTGCATATTATAGATGCTCTGATTGTGTAGAAATGGAGGGAACATGTGACGTGTACTGGCGTCTCTAAGTGCCATGAGCATTACCAAAATAATACCAGACATCTAGTAAGTTCACTTCAGTAACTAGCGTATATATATATATGTAACACAAACATATGTATACTTGCACTCATATATTACATTATACATATTATGTATAGTATATAACATACACATGTAATACATACTATGTGACTATATGACTATTATATATGAAATATAGTATGCATGGAATAATTATACACAATGTAACTAAACCGAGTCATACTTCCTGGCCATCACAGGAAGACGTCCAATTCTCTAGCTGAATGCATTATAAGAACACCAGTTCTCACTTCATGCTGGACTCAGTCCCTGATTGACTATAGTGCAAGCACACAGGCTTGGTCACCATGGGCTGGACTGTTTCTAGTCATTATACACACATGCAGGGATGAAAGAGGACATCCCAAAAGTCTTCATACTCTGGGAATAATTAAGATTGTTGTGGTACTGGCTGCCCTTCCCTCCACACCTGCCTGCACAGTGACTGTGGAGCTGTTTGGGACAAGGAGCCTCCTGACCAGAGGCTGGCACAGCACACGCTGCCCTGGTGTGTGCGGAGCTTGCATCGAGTCTTTGCTTCTGTTGCTGGGACACTGAAATTCCGCACAGCATTTGAACCCACAGGTATTGCAACTTCACTTCCGCACAGCATTCGTGCTGTGCAAAAACATCTGAAACAATTGCAATGCCTTTTATTATTAACCATTTGAAAGTCATACCTAATGACTTTGCCAGGGTCCAGGTCCCATGGGGCAAAGCATCTTATAACAGGACACAAACCTATCCCAATGAGCTAAATGGACAAAATAGGCAAAGAGCCTATTGCCCTTCTTTTCAGAAATTGTGTCTTTTATCTATATATCCCCAAAGGTTCATTTCCTAGAATGGAAACAGCAAGAAAACTCATGGAATACGTTTCACGCAGAGTTTCATCTTCATTGTATATTTTTCCATTATTCTAATGTCAAGAAAAGAGAAGCCTCTCCTGGAGCAACAGGCTGTGTTTTACCCACAAGTCCACTTCTGCTATGATTATGGTACTCTTAGGCAGGCAACTGTTTTAAATGGCAATACTGAACTATCAATAGGCAATACTCTTAGGCAGGCAACTGTTTTAAATGGCAATACTGAACTATCAAAAATAGGCAATACTCTTAGGCAGGCAACTGTTTTAAATGGCAATACTGAACTATCAAAAATAGGCAATACTCTTAGGCAGGCAACTGTTTTAAATGGCAATACTGAACTATCAAAAATAGGCAATATATGAAGTCATGTTTTATTGTGAGATACTAAAATAAAAGATGTGGATAATTTAAAAAAACACACTACTGTCTGTAAGCTATAATTTTATTGTTAATTACAAAAGCAGGGAATCATAAGAATTGCATTTTAAGGGCTTATGACTTCCTTACAGGACTCCCATATTATTTCTGACTGTAATTACCCATTCTGCTAAAAGAAAAGAAATAATTCTAAAGGACTATGAATCGCCAACGTAACTGCTTACAATACTAATGAATAGGTTTATAGTCAATTTGCTATATACAGCATGTCAGATCCCACAGGACATTTTTCTTCCTATCTTTTAAAATACAAATATAAAATGCATCTTCTAAAAGTCTAACGTTTATGGGGAAAAAAGCGCAAATGTTTCTAAAATCTTCTAAGCGGTATAACTGGCTATTTAATATATGAATATTTATGGAGTGTTCTGCTTAAGGCAGCAGTAGTTCTGTAATTACAGACTTCAGCTCCCAACACCTTGAAAATGTCAAATATAATTAGATAGTAGAATGTGTATTGTTTTAATTACAAAGTGGAATAGGAATTTTCCTGTTCCTAATTAGAATAATAAAACTCCCAACCTCAGTTCACATATCTTGACTACTATTGCTACTAACAAACCACAAATTTTGCACTGAGTTTGCAAGGACTTAGAACTGAGGCTTGTGAAATATGCTTTTTCTGTACTTGTCTTGACTTGCCTGGAACTTTGTTTATTTAGTTTAATTGTAATAGCAGTTTTTCTAATGATCTTAGAAACTTTCACATATCTTTGGTACAACTTCGCATCATTTTTCTATCTGTATCTAGTAGTTCACAAGTAGTTATTCTGCATAAAACAAGCTATTTATGACTAGTGCAGTGATTCCCAAATGCTATGTCAGGTGCAATATGATGGTGGTGGTGATCATTGCTCATTCTAAGAACCACTTGGGTTCATTGGTATATTTGCTAATGTGATTTTACACCTTGATCTTTCTTTTTTGGTCTGACTTTTCACATTACATCTCAATTTACAATATGTATTATGGTTTACATATGTTTTTCTTCGTATTCTTTCTTACTTCTAAAATCAATTTTGCCAGTTGCAGTCCTGCACGTCTTTATCTGACCACTGGGTGAGTTGTTTCTAGCCTTGAGGTCTCCAATAGGAGCATATGCCCCAGCTCCTACCCTACAGCTGTAATTCTTCCCCATTGTACCCTCTGCAATGCAGGAATACAGGTCTGGTATGAGAGCAGAGGTCTTACAAAAGGGACAGTGGAAGGCCAAGCTTTAGCAGGAAAATCTTATTGGAGTGGTTGGAATCTTGAAGAGAACAACATTGTCCTTTGGATAGCCCAGCATCTGGGCCACTGACTTTTGTCTCTGGCTTTCTACCAGACACACAACCTGTTTTTCTGAACTGCTTGCTTTTGAGTTAAAATGTAGGACATTTAACTTTACTATTCCACCAAGTCTCTGCAGAGCCCTAAATTTCTAATTCAAGGTACTCTCTCCTCTTGGAGAATTTCCAAATAATCAAAGTTTCACTAAACCCACGTTCTGTCTGTAAGCTTTAGAAGCAAGTCATAGCAATCAGATATTGATGGTTTCTTAAATGACACCATGGAGACAGTAAGGCTCAAACTGAAAGAAAGGCAACAAATAAGCACCACCCCACCCTCTACTACACCCCTCAGTTTCTCTTTTACCTTGAAACAATATGTGACTGAATACATACATAATTCAAAACTCTCTGGGAATCAATATCTTCTATAAATTTTCTTCCTACAAAACTGTACACTGGTAGTTATATACCTAAATCTTTTATTTGCCAGCACTTAAGTATAGCAAAGAGTCTATATTTATCTTCAGGAGAATGACATCTTAAAATCCACAGGCTTTATAAGAGTGCAACCACAGAGCATCACATATTCAACTGCCTGAAT